GATGACACACGGGGCAGGAACATATATCCGAAGTTTCAGCCCCCCAGCTTTCCTGGTTGTCGAGTTCGAAGTGGGTGACAAAATGCACTCGCTTTGCGAACACAGACACACACAGACACACACACACACACGCACACACACAGACAGCCTCTCGACAATATGCGTTTTTCTTTGCTGTGCAGCGCCATAGCGCTGCACAGCAAAAACGCATAACCGCACAGGCACGCCGAGTACGCGTCGCCAATGATATTAGCTTCTTTACTGTTTTTATGCGTTTTTTGCAGCAATACAATGCAGAAAATTAGTAGAAAGCGTACCGGTTGCTGGTAGGAGGATGCGTTTTTTGCACAGTTCCCCCGCAGGTTTTTTTTCGCCAGTGGCACGTTCTTCTCGGCAGACGCTTCTAGCGAAAAGAATTGGGACTGGCCACTACGACTGTTAGAAATTATTACAGTGACTCCCAATCCATGCCAAAAAATCCAGCGCTCTGGATGCTTCGGTTGCAGAGTTACGTCAAACTTCACGTGTCTACACGTGAAACGTACGTGGGACGTGGAAGTGATGTGTAAATCATTTTTGCGTGTATCTGGTCAAAGACCATCGTCGGTTATGCTCAGGAAGTTCAGGTCCACTGGCTGGTTCAACTCTGAAGTTACAAAAACGCATGCGTGAAATTTTCACGCGTTCGTACGTGAGATGCAGAGAGGCTGGAAGGTTCAATTTACTTTCACAGGCACATCAGTGGGCGACAACTAATGCTGCAAAATTGCAGCTCTCTGCAGCTTATTGATCAGTATACATCTGGAGCTGGCATTATGCCAGTTTGAACCTTGACGTGTACGTACGTGAGACCTGGGGGTGTGTGAAGGCTGAATTTGAAATCTTTGGATTAGACGTGGCCAAGGAACATCTGTGTGAAGTTCCAGCCTCCTAGCGTGTGCCGTTCCCGAAAATGCTTTTCCATCAAAAAAACTTTCACGTGCCCCTACGTGAGAACCAGGCGGACCTGAGCGCCCATTTTGATGATTCGAGCCCGCACGTATGCGTAGATTTATTTACCAAATTTTGAGCCTTGTAGCTTTTGTGCAACTCGAGATGAAAACTCGTTACGGACGCACACACATACATACATACACATATACACATACACGCAGACAACCCCTCGACAGCATGCTTTTTATGCGTTTTTTGCAGCTATGCAATGCAGAAAACGCATATTGACGAGGGGCTGTCTGTGTGTCTGTGTC